CAAAAGTTAGTAAATAGTAATAGTTATCTTGCTGACAAAGTATTACGTTTTGGAGAAAGTTTGCACAGAACATGACAATTCTGGAAAAGATGACTTTTTGAATTGTCAGATATGATCAAACAGTTAAAAACACGTGGGATGATTTTCTTCACTTTTAGCACAGCTAATTTATACTGGCAGAACTTCATAAGCTCATACCACATGATGAGCATCCAATTGATGGCGAATCAGAACAAGATGCAAGTAAGCATCATCGTAAAGATTTAATAGATAATCAACAAATTGCCGTCTGCTTCTTTGAAAAAAGATTCAAAGTATTCTTGAAAAAGGTTTTAGTTCCTAAGTGGGCTTTAGAGAATTATTGGTATAGATTCGAATGGCAGCATCGCAGAAGCGTTCATGTACATAGTATTAGAAAAATAAAAGATGTGCCTGAGTTTGATTGGGAAAGAATAAAAAATAATTAAGAAGAAATGAATACAATAATTAATCATTTAATTCATTAGTTACTACAATTAATCCTGAACTCAATGCACCTATACCTAATTGTTACTCGTACTAAAAAAGCAGCAAAGAATTATCTGACAACTTACAAGATTACATTGAGATCATTAACAAACTTCAACGTCATACACGATATAGTTCTGTGTATTGTCTTTGTGTAAGGAAGGGTTAGCAACAATGTCAATTTGGATTCTCTAAAGATATCACAGAGTATAGCATTATTTATAAGATCAATAGCCATCTGGAACTTTTCACAACACAAAATGATCCTTACATAAATCTATATAATCAGCTTTAGCTTCAGGGATAGTATACAAATATTGATCTAAGCCTATTTTAAATATTCATACTGCTCTTCAATATGTGGCTAAATATGCAAGTAAATCAGAGCTATGTTCTACAACTGTTACGGAACTATTAAATAAAAGTCTTCGTGAAAGCAAACCTTCGAACTCTTCTCTTGGTGCTTTTCAACAACTATTGCTCCATATAGTTGCTAAATGTGATATATCAGCACAAAAAACATGCTATCTTCTCCTTGGTATTCTGCTTTATCATTCCAGTCAGTGCTTTATAACCATAAATCTTAACAAAAAATCATCTCAGTAGCTTTGTGGTACTGGAAATGAGAATTTTGTGTCAGCAAGTCAAACTGGACATACAATGCAATCTCCTTTATAAAGATATTGGAGTAGATCTGTTGAGCTTGAAAATCTCTTCCTATTTCAACTATATCTGGGATATAAGTTTTGTAATAATAAGTGGAAGAAATGTAATTGTGAAAATATCATACACATTTGGCCAAGACCATCACCCCAATGAAATGGCCCTCAGTGGGAAGAATTCTGCTATGTAAAAGTCTTACTTCACATTTGTCACAGAAATCTTGAACAGCTAACTGAAAATCATACTGTCATATGGGCTTAACTCTTTAATCGACATCTGCAGAGATAGAAGACAGGCTAACTGATCTTCTTGGGTCATTTATCAAAAATTTAGAAAACTTTTCTAATGAGATTGATGATGAGGATGAGCAACCAGAAATGAATAATGGAAAATTCGTGATGATTGGATGATTTTAACTAAATGGGCCCAAATACAATTGTCGACAGTTCTTCTGGGTTGGGTTTAAGTTATACAGATTGAAATCATAACTGGGTCGGCAATGTCAGGTGAAATTTTCCAAATCTAAATCTTGATGATGTAGATACGTTTATACAGCAAATTCGTAGCAGCGATGCTAATAATGAAGAAAATTTAGATAATAATACTATAGATTACCAAACCTTAAACAAAAATCAACTGAAGATTTTTAAACAACTTGAGTCACATTATAATAGTATTATTACAGGTGTTAGTATTAAGCCAATAAGAATAATTATCATAGAAACTGCGAGAACTGGCAAGTCGTACCTGATTAATGCAATTCTACAACTACTTCAAGGGATGGCAAAGAGAAATAATGTTGAAAACTCTCCTATTATTGTGCTTGCACCAACCAGAGTTGTAGCATTTAATATTCATGGGACAACCATTCATTCAGCACTTTTTATTCCAGTAAATGGTACTAACTCAATATAAGAGAGAAAAGTTTAAAGCAGCTACAAAAAAATTTAAATAGTATGAAATATATAATAATCGATGAAAAAAAAAAATGGTCGGATGCCACATGCTTGCTTTAATTGACATGCGATTACGTTAAGCCTTTTCTGAAAATCAGAATCAACCTTTTGGTGGTCGATTAGTAATATTAGTTGGTAATTTTGGCCAACCTCCACTAGTGCTTGATTTGCCTATGTATCGTTAAACCATTAGTTATGATCTGTTATCGAATGATGGTATTGCAGCTTATAAGCAGTTTTAGAAGGTTTATCGACTTGATATTGTTTAGCGTCAAGCAGGAGATTCAGATGAACAGTGTTATTTTAGAATATTTTAATGTGGTTACGGAATAGTAAATAGACAATTGATGATTGGAAGACACTTAGCACATGATTC